TCGCGAGGATGTTTCCATCAACGGAAGCAGATTTCACGCCCGCTGGTTTGTGTGTGTGCGGCGGCTGCTCAGCCACGGCAGGAGTCACATTTCGGCAGCGTTTGCGGCCGTTTATACGACGGTTCTCTCGTCTGTGGTTCAGCGGCTCCACCCAGGATCCAAGCCGGGCTGCTCCCGAGAGGCGGCCAAGCGCCGCTGCGAGCGGGAGAAGCTCGCCCGGTTCCTCCTCTGGCAGGCCAGGAAGGAGGGAACTTTCCAAGGGGGCTGTGCCGCCAAGTGGCCTGAGCTACAAACGAAGGTCTCCCGGTCAGTCAGGACGAGGTTTGTCCCTCGCTTCTCCGGGAGGCTTCGCTTTCTCCCAGCGGCCTCCCATCCAAGCACTAAGCAACCCCGACTCTGCCAGGCTTTCTGAGCTGGGCCGGGGTCGGCACCGGTCGGCTTGGCTCCCCGCTCGCTCTCTGGCAAGCCGGTCTGGCGGGGAAAACCCTGTGCGCATGCTCGGAAACACGGCCCACCTAAGCACAGCGTGTCCCCGAGCCGAGAGCGCGCAGCCAGCCAACGGCCTCCAAACTGCAACGCGGTCGCTATAGCGACGGCGCACTTTCCTCCCTACCCCGTCGACAAGAAGTCGCGGTTCCCGTGGCCACCCCTCCCGCCCCCGGCGCCCCCCTTTCCTCACTTGCTTTTCAAGCTCGCCGAAGAGCTCGAGACCGCCATCTTCAAGCCCCGGCTCGGTCGCTCCGCGGTCCCAGTTCCCTCGCTTGGACACCCGGACGACCTCCACGTGCTTCCGGGAAAAATGCGTTTACTTCCGGCGCGTCGCCGTAGCGCAAGCAAGCATAGACGCATGAAAACGTGAAGAGGCAGCTTCCTAGCCTTTTGACAAGACGCCCTTCGCGGAGGCGACCCTCAACCACAATTTCCCCAACTGCGCCGGGAGGACCGCCGCCGGCTGGTAGCGGGAGAGGTGGTCCTTCGGAGGACCAATGCCTGGCAGACTCACGACTGTTCCGTTCCTTTTTTATTTTTTTTGCTGTTGCTTCTTCCAGGGTTTGACTTGTGGGGTCCCTGGAAATCTCCCAGCTTTTCTTGCAGATTCATTGCTCAGCTAGGTAACACCACCAGTGCGACAAAGGAGCAGTTTGTTCTCATGTTATGCATCAAGGGTCTTCAAACTTGGCAAGCTCGTGACTTGTGGACTTCAACTCCCAGAATTCCGGACCTAACATGACTGGGGGAGGAATTCTGGGAGTTGAAGTCCACAAGTATTAAAGCTGTCAAGTTTGAAGACCCTTGTTATAGACTCTTGGCTTGCTTTGTCAGCATTGGTGGGAGTGTTCTTGGTGGCTCTTTGATTGAACTGCTTGTCTGAGTTTTGATAGTTCTTGATTGGGGGATTGTTCAACCCTGAACTACAAATATTGTCAGTGGCTTGACTTGTCAGACTGGCCTATCACATCGTTTCTGGGTAACTGGGTTTCTAACCCTAACACCAAGCCTTCCAAAGGCTAAGGAGGGTTATCCTGAAAAACTCTGCAAATTTAACCAAAACAGCCAAATATGCTCCCTGATACATCTAGCTAGCCACCAAGGTGTCTTTCAAACCACTCCTGAGTACACACATGCACGCACACAAACCCTCACACCTTAATTGGGGAAAAACTATCTTTTGCTGACATCTTCCATGAGGTCACATCAAACCCCCCTCAAAAAAAAAAAAAAAAACACCCAGGCAGAAATGTTCTGGCCTACCCATTCTTGTAATTGAAAATTAATGGACATAATAGTTTATCCATCACAGTTAGTCTTTGTTGATGTTAGTTAACTTTCATAGCTAAGTGGGGCATGGCAGCTGCTTGGTTTACATTCATTGGGGTATTACATAAGCCCAGGAACTAGATAAACTCACAAACAAAACGTATACATCACAAAAATCTTTATTTTATAATTCAAAAAACCTTGCAAATGTCCATCGCCTTACAATTATATTTTCATTTCTTCAGAAGAAAGATTTTAATATAAAATCACATATTCCTCTGCCAACTAATTGATATACAGAATAACTTGGCACATCTAAATATCAGTAGCACTTCCCAGCCCTCTCTAAGCTGTTTACAGAGTCAGGATATTGCCCCCAGCAATCTGGGTCATTTTACTGACCTCAGAAGGATGGAAGGCTGAGTCAGCCTTGAGCCTAGTGAGATTCAAACTGCAGGCAGCTGACAATCAGCAATGCTGCATTCTAACCACTGCAGCTCTCTAAATGTTGAGTCTCTTCCAATAGCTGTGGGGAAGAGAACACACCTTCTTCCAGTGGTATGTAGAAAATTAAGATCTTGCAGCATACAAGTCTTCAAAGTGTATCTTCCTCTAGGGCATCTGTTGGGAAAAATAAGATGTTAATATTTTGAATCTTAATTTTGAATCTTATTTCAGCCATATTTTCATAGGATGTAGGAACCTGGGTTTTATTGCCCAAAGACTATGCTTAGGGCAATAAGCTTAAAGTTCCTTTTTGCTATGGGCACAGTTACCTCATCCAAGGCCACAAAGGAAGCCAAGGATTATTTTCAGACAGTGCCCCAAAAGCCCAGAAGGCATAGGATTACAATGCAAAACAACCTTTCAGCAGCTGAAAAGTTTCTAACACAAACTACCAGCATTCCAAATTCAGCCTAGAGAGAAATCCCATCCAAAGGTTATATCTTGAGCAAACCAGGAAAGAGCATTAGCAACTTGTATACAAGCAGAAAACTCCCAATAGCCAGGAAAGTGGTGGAACAGAGGCATGGAATGTTGTTAGTACTGATCATGGTAGTGCAACCACATTGAACAGGATGTAGGCTTGTTACCTACTCTTATTTCAGAGATCTGTTTGTTACATAATTTAAAAAGTGTTCCCTTTCAAGTTACAACCCCTTTATAGGGATGAAGGATAAATGCAAAAGGCAATTTTAATTGCACTTGCCATCTGTATATGCTGCATACATCTCTGGTGTCAGCACACGAGGAACCCATCTTGCACAAACTTTCCGATACTGAAGAATATCAATAATGTGTCCCACACGTTCCTGTGAAATGCCAAGCTTGGCAGCAATTTCTCTTTGAGTGATCTGCTGATTGTTCTTGATCAGTTCATCAACTTTTTTCACATGAAACTGATCAGTGGCAGTCACTGGTCTTCCACTGCGTTCTTGATCACATAAATCAGTTCTTCCTGGTTTACCACCTTTACATTTTTTTGCCCAGCGACGCACGGTACTCACATCCACACAATCCCCATAAACAGCAAGCATTTGGCGGTGAATTTCAATTGGAGGAACTCCTTCAGCCGTCAAAAACTCAATCACGGCACGTTGTTTAAAGCGTACTGAGGAATATTCAGCGAAGGCTTCCATTTCACAAACAAGAGCAACACAGCCTTTTCTCACAGCAACTTCCCACCAACAGAGGTGAAAGAACAGATACTAAAGAATATATCTGGGCTTCTAAGGCAGGACAGGATTTTGGAGGCATCCCTTTTCATTCAACCCTCCTAGAACCCAACAGAACCCAACACAACAGCATCCATCAGCTCTAGCCACAGCAACCACCGGACTTGATTAGGTCGTAGGCTTGCCATCCACTCTATTTCACTTTATGCCACACTGTTGCATAAAATTGAAACGGAGGGTTTCTTTTTCAAAGTACCAAAAATGCAGCTTGCTCTTCTTATAGGTGAGGGACAACATAATTAAAGGTAGTTTCAACTGCCCTTCCCGCCGATATCATTTGCAAGTGAATCACTGAAGTTATTTTAAAAAGGACAGCATTTCAGGGTTGCCTTTTTAAAAGCCCAAAAAGCAAAAGCAACGTGCAGAGTAAGACATTCGACAGAAACTTCAGCGACACCAGAGTCACCACGTGGAACAGAGACGCGCCCAGGGACACCCAAGGAAGCCTTCTTGCGACAAGCCACGTCTGAAAAGGGCCCTGAATGCTAGCAATCCTGGCTTTCAAGAGGCAGCAAACAAACGAAGGCTGGAGCCATTCCTTTGCAACTGGACCGAAGTGCTCCGAGACATACAACGCAGCACTCACTGTGCATTATACGGGCCTCCCCTCCGACGGCAGCTGAAACCCCGCATTTCCAGAAACCGTGAGGGGGGAAAAGGCACCGCCACCCGCTCCGAGGCGGAACCCACCAACCTTCCCGGAAAGCGCTCGCGAAGCCCGCTCCCCGCGGCTCTTTTTCTAGCCTGGGTATTCTAATTCATGCTCGATCCCGGGCGTTTTAATTCATGCTCGATCCGGCCAAGAGCGCGGCACGTGCGGGCGTCTGTGCGCCTGCGCAATCGTCTTAGGAGGTAAGGAAATAGAACCTCGCGCAGGCGCTTTGAAAGGTAACGGATCTCGCGAGAGGAGCTGACGCTAAATACCCCTCCCTTCGCGCTTTCGGCCTTCTATTCGATCGCACGTAAGTAGCGGCTGGTGCTGTTCGCGGCGGTATCCACCGCCATCGCTTTCGCGGGAGGCCCGGCGCTGGGTCCGGTTCTGGGGAGCGGTCGGGACGGTTCTCCGGAGGGCAGGGTTGGGGGGATGTTCCCCGCTTTCGGTGAGGACCGGCGGCAGCAGCGGGAGCCTGCTGGGAAGGACCCCGGAAGTAGCGCTCCTCGTGGCTTCGGCGGCCGGGCGCAGGAACCGGCGCGGGGGGGAGGCTTCGGCGGAGGGTGGCGGCCTGAGCCCCGTTAGGACGAAGGCGGCGGCGCGCGCTTGGGACGCTGGGCGGGTCCGCCGTTTGGGGACCGAGGAGGCCCGTGGGGGGGAATCAGGTCGCCGCCGCCGCCGCCGCCGCCGCCGCTGCTGCTGCCGCTACTTTGCACGGAAGCCCTCAGCGCATCGCCCGGTGGGTGGGTGGGTGGGTGGGCGGGCGGGCGGGCGGCCGCTTTCCTGCCGGCTTTTCGGACGCTGCCGCCCCTCCACGGGGCGGTTTCGTGGGCCGCCTGCTCGCGGCTGGGCTCTGCGGCCTCCTGATTGCAAAGAATCCCACCGTCTGCAAGTGTCACTTTCCTTCCCCAGCAAATGGCGGATGACGCCGGTGCCGCCGGAGGGGCCGGAGCAGGCGGACCTGCTGCTGCCGCGGCCAGGGGAGGCTTCCGAGGAGGCTTTGGCAGTGGAGGCCGGGGCCGTGGAAGAGGCCGGGGCCGTGGTCGGGGCCGTGGTCGCGGGGCTCGAGGAGGCAAAGCTGAGGACAAAGAAGTGAGTAGAATTAATTACCCGGTTACCCTTTTTGGAAGTCTGGAGGAGAAGGTGGCCTGTAATGCAGTGGTGGTATTTGACCGGGTCTGGAGAGCCGGTAGCGGCGATGAGCGCTGCTCTGTCTTTGGCCCACCTGCCCTCCCGGGTTCCCATACTCACTTTTATGGCCAAAATTTGAAGCTGGGCTGTTTTGTGAGGTGCATAATAGGGCCGCATGGCAGCTGCTGCAGGGATCATGCAGGCTTGCAGGAGGTGAGTTAGAACACCTCTCTGTGCCTGCGAAAAGTGTGTGTTCAGTGTGTGTGTGTATGCAATGTGTGTGCACATGTGCAAAGTGCACCTACCAAGCCACACCCACCGACAACCTTATTTGGCAACCTTATTTGAATACCACCACTGCTGTAATGTCATTAAAGCAAATGGAAATGGCTTTTCTAGATGCAATTCCAGGCAGGGCCTTCTCTGGTAATAAAGGACTTATGGTTCAATTTTTACTAGGATTGAATAAATCAAAGTAAAAATACTTAACTGAAATGGCCAGCCAATAAATCTAATGCAGCCGGCAAGCCCTCTGGATGTCTCTCTGGTCCGTTTCAAGCCAGGCAATTCAGCAGAGGCCATTATAATTAGAGAACCTTTGAATATGTCAGTAGGTTTTTCTTCCATTTATGACAATACAGAAATTAAAGATTCTGATTGGTTCCTGTAAAACAATGACCTGGCTGCTCAGGCCAAGTGGAACATATAATTGGGTGTCATATGCATAATAAAAGGGTGATGGGGTGTTAAAATGCATACAGTTTTCCAAGTACCATGTGCTATATTGTTAAAATTGTGTGTTATTGCTGAAGAAAGTTTGGGTTCTTTAATAGTCTTGTTTCTATTTCTGCAGTGGATGCCTGTGACCAAATTAGGCCGACTGGTAAAGGACATGAAGATCAAATCTCTGGAAGAGATCTACCTTTTCTCTCTTCCAATCAAGGTATTACTCTTAAAAACTTGGATAACCCGTTACTTTCTCAGAGGATAACATAGCAGCAGGGATGGGGAGAGGGTAAGCACATTTGTGCACCCATGTATTAGTCACTCAGTAAAACTGGTGAGACAGTCCAGGCAAAATTGGAAATAATTTGTTCTTTTTAAGTTATTGTTGCATGGTGTATTATTAGTTTGGGGTTTTAAAAAGAGAAAATCCATTTTAGTGAGAGTTTGACGTAAAGGCACTCAATTAAAAGCTACAGATCAACTTCTAGTTTTACCTTAATCTTGAAAATCATCTGAGTAATTCAGCTAGTTACCTTCAGCCCTAGGAAGAAGCACTGGCAGGCCACTTCCAGAAATGTTGCAAAGGAAATTGTACTGACTTGTTCTGGTTGTCTGCAGAAACCAGGACTGATTTGTCAACCAAGTCAACAATGAAGAGAGTTGATGCTATTTTGAAATTCCTTGCCATACAGAGAGGTGGTTTATCATACATTGATTTTTCAGGAGTCTGAAATCATTGACTTTTTCCTGGGTTCCTCGCTGAAGGATGAGGTTTTGAAAATCATGCCGGTGCAGAAGCAAACACGGGCAGGGCAGCGCACCAGGTTCAAGGTAACCTCAGCTACATTTTGCTTTTTTATGCTTGGGATGTGTAGCTTCTATGGCAACAAATTCCTGATGTGACTTCCAACTAAACTGTCCTCCTTTTTCCTTCATATGTTTACTTTGTTATTAAAGCATCTTCCCAATGTGGGATTCATTTGGTTTATTTAATGAGCATCAAATTGGAAAAGTGAGCTAGCTTGTTCTACGTAAAGAGTGAACTTTTCCTGATACCTGAAAGAGCAGATGTTACTTTGGGATGCCTGAATGGTGTCTTTTAAAAGCCTTGAAGCTCTGGGGAACTACTGGAGGACTGGAAGTAACAATAGAAAAGTCCCAGACAAACCTTATTTATAGTATTCTTGCTGTGGTTATAGTATACTTCAGTAAGTATTTGACACAGATAGAACAATGGCATAGACAGCTTCACGATCAGAGGTGGCTGACCCCCTGCAATCAGCACATGGTCCTCAGTGGAACTAGTGTATATTGACCTGGAGGGAAGCATGCAGTGAGGTATCCCAAGGCTCTGTCTTAGGCCCAGGACTCCTCAGCATCTTCATAAATGATCTAGGTGGGGGGAATAGAAGGTGAACTCATCAAAAATGCAGATAACATCAACTTGGGGGAAATAGCAAACACGTTAGATTCAGAAGGATCTTGACAGACTTTAACAGTGGGCCGTAGCCAACAAAGTGGTGGGAAAGATTTTACCCTCAAACAAGAAAAACCCAATGCACAGTGTAAAATGGACAGTACCTGGTCCAACAGCAGAGAGAGATCTAGGAGTCCTAGTGGACAATCACTTAAGTATGGGCCGGCCGTGTGCTGTAGCTCCCAGAAAACCTCATGCAATCCTAGGTTGCATCAACAGAGGCGTAGGCTCAAGATCATGTGAAGTGTCATACAGGCCACACTTGGCATGCTGCGTTTAGTCACCCCAGTGCAAAAAGATAGCAAGTCTCTAGAAAGAGTGCAGGGGGAGCAGAAAAGATGATTACGGGATTGGAGGATAAGGCACACAATGAATGTGGGAATTGGGTGTTTATAGGCCAACAGAGAGAAGGACTAAGCTAACCTGGTAGTCCTCCAATACTTGAGGGGCTGCCACAGACAAGGAGGGGTTGGCCTGTTCTCCAGAGCACCTGAGGGCAGAACAAGGAGTAATGGATGGAAGCCTAACAGAGATCCAACCTAGAATTAAAGTGGAATTTCTTTTCAGTGAGAATTCGTGGAATGGCCGGGGTCTGCACGATGGTGTGGAGGCCTTGTGCTGTGCAGTTGGGGTGGCTGGCCACAGCTTGGATGCCACTGGGCTCACATAGAGCCCTGGGGGCAACAATGGCCAGCGGAGGCTGCTGAAGGTCCTGACCTCTACGCCAGCCCCAGCATCCCGGTTGGAGAATGCTGTGGTGCAAAGTAGCTGAAAGAGGAGCAGGTGGGGGGAGCTGAAACACCCCTTTGGCTGTCAACATGGGTGGGCTATCAAATACCTGCATTTTGACCACCTGACCACAAGGGAACTGAGGTGGCCATGGTAAGCATCGTTCTTTTATGCTGCTGTAACGGTTGCTGAATGAGGGGTCACAACTCGAGGACTGCCTGTGGTAAGCTGTGCTCAATATCTGGTGTTTTGGCCAGGGGTTTGCAGAGTTTAAGTTGGGCCGACTGTCAGGATGGTTGGTGCGCGGCACCTGTGGATTTATGGCAAGGGGCGTTTTGCATGTCTGCTGTGGAATCATTATGGGTTCTCTCTCCTTAGGCCTTCGTTGCCATTGGGGATTACAACGGTCATGTTGGTCTTGGGGTCAAGTGCTCTAAAGAAGTTGCCACGGCCATTCGTGGGGCCATCATCCTGGCGAAACTCTCCATCGTGCCAGTGAGGCGAGGCTATTGGGGGAACAAGATTGGCAAGCCTCACACTGTGCCATGCAAGGTAACCACCTGGTTTTGTGGAGCTTTTGCATTGGCTGAATAGCAAGAGCACTTAGACTATACCGCTTCACAGAGTTTTACAGCCCTATTGCCCCAAGTCCTGATGAACTGCTTTCCTATGTGAACCTCTTCTGGCTTGCATTTGTAGGTCACAGGCCGCTGTGGGTCCGTCTTGGTTCGCCTCATTCCTGCCCCACGTGGCACAGGGATTGTGTCTGCCCCCGTTCCCAAGAAGCTACTGATGATGGCGGGAATTGATGACTGCTACACCTCAGCCAGGGGCTGCACTGCTACCTTGGGCAATTTTGGTACGTCTTTGGGAATCTGAAGTAAATTGCTGCAATTTGGGAAATGGCAAATTTGTGCCACAGAAATCTTAGCTTGCGAGTAGCTGATTTATTTAATTTATAGAGCTGCTCAGTAAATATGGCTCTGGGTTGTATACAACCAAGCAAAGCAAATATGGCAACCGTTGAAAACAATTTTAAAGTGCAATTAAACAATCTTCCAGGTTTGTCATAGGACCCCCCAAGTTTCAGAACATGAAACTTATTTTAAAATTCCCTGATCAAGAAAGCAGGAGGTCTGGAGGAAAACTGCTTACATTTTTAGTCTCTCTCTGAACAGCAAAGTTCCTGGAACATGGTTTGAAAAACCCTGCTCTAGACCCCCCCCCCCCCCAACATCGTGAAGTTAGCTTCCAAATAGTAATTAGAGAAGGTCTTAAATTGAGGAATTAAGTGTACACGAACAAGTCAAATCTAGTTTTTATTCTGGCTTTTGGAATACCACCCATAGCCTATCATTCGGAAGCAAAGTGGAACCTGCAGCCCGTAAAATAAGGAGCACACCCTTGATTTGAAACTGCAAGGGGAGATGGGCTGAAGCTGGAATGGGAGGCAGGGAGTGATAAAGACCATCTCTTGCAGGCTTCGTGGCCCTGACCTCTAAAGCAGGGAGAGAGAAATGGGTAGATTTTGTCTAGGTTAAAGGGACACCCCCCCCCCACAGAGAGAGAGAGAGAGAGAGAGAGACACAGTACCACTGCATAGATCCACCTGTGGTCATCTGTCAGGCTGCCTTGACAAACGGAGGGCCAGGATCTAACATACAGGTGGCTGCTAGGGTGACATTCAGTGCTGGCTCCTGTTATTTGAACTGCTGAGTATAAATGTCTACTCTGGATTTGTTTGTTAAATAGGCCAAATCCCAGCCCAGCATGGTTATGTGTTTTGGTTCTTTGGAAATGCTCTATTCCAGAACTCTCTCAGCTCTGCTCAGTTGCGCCTGACTCCAGTGGTGCAGCTGTCGTTTTTGAGAGGGAAAGCAAATGAGTTCAAATTTGCACGGCAGGGAGTCCTCCTGCAGTGACCTCTCTGTTCCTTATCAAACTCGACATGTTTGAATAATGTGTGTGCTTTATAAAAGAACATTGCAGGAGTACTGAGATGACTTCCATTTTTATTTCAGCTAAAGCCACCTTTGATGCTATATCCAAGACCTACAGTTACTTGACCCCTGATCTCTGGAAAGAAACTGTCTTCACTAAATCTCCTTATCAGGTGAGGAAAATGTGCATGAGGACTAGGGAGTACTCTTCACACACACACACCAATATTATGCCTTTCCTTGGTGGAGTTCAACGAGACAGACTTGGAGGCTCCCACTCATTTCATCCTACTAACCCTGTGAGATGGAGTGAAGTCACTGAACAGAATTCCTGCCCACCACCCCCTTCTAGGTCTGTATTTTACGCAAAAAAATTGATGCATCTTTTCCCTTTTTCTACAGGAGTTCACTGATCATCTGGCAAAGACCCACACCACCAGAGTGTCTGTGCAAAGAACTCAAGCAGCTGCTGTGGCAACCACCTAAAAGATTCTGTGCATCAATAAAGCAATCCTCAAGTTTTAAACCAACCTACCACATGCTGTACTTTTCCTTGTGCAGGTTCCTTCATTGGGAGAAATACCTGTGTTCCAAACCAATATCCTTGAGTTCAAAAATTATACCAGTAATCTGAGGGGATCTTCAAGAGTTGTGACTGTTTCAGTGGTTGGCAGCAATTGGTTCCCAGGAAGTTTGTACGGTGTAGTTAAGGAGCAGCCTGCACAGCCCTATTAACTAACTCTCCTTTTAGGAGAGAAGAAAGCTAAAGCAGTACATGATTGTATTCTTAACACACAATGACAGCTAGTATCAGACGTACCCCAGCTTAGACATTTAGGAAATAAAGACCCTCAACTACATTTGTCTGAAGTGATAGCTTCTTTTACCAAAGTTAAGTGGTTGCCACAAAAGCAAAATTGGAGACTAACTTTGCTAGAGACCAGGCCCAGGAAATCCCCTGGTTGTCAATCCAGGAATTGCAAGCTCTAGTGGGCCTGTAGGGAGGAAGGGGCAAGCCCTCCTCACCAGACAAATAGCAGGACCCCATCAGAGATGAGCAGTAACTCCTTTGGGAGAAGAGGAAGCTAGAGGCTCAGCAGGAGACTCTTTGCTGGACTCAACAAGGGAGGATCCAGTTTGTGGGGAACAGGGGAGAGAAATGGAAATCTCTCTGTAATTTAGTTATCCCAAAGTTTTCTTGGCAATAGTCCACTTCAGCTTCTTTTGGAAGAGGGGGGGGGGATGGGAGGCTACGGGTAGTTTGTAACTTATGGCCCCAGCTGGGATTGTCTGAGGGAGACCACGTGACTGTCATTTATCAGCCACAGCCCTGGGATTCTCAGTTGCTATTGTTAACCGAGAGTGGCTGCTCATGTAGAGTACTGCGCCCCCCCCTCCAAGTCATTCGGAGCTTGTTCCTGCTCAGCCCCACCCTCTAAGGCATGGGTCTCCCCCATCATTGCCCTTTGCTTGCTCTTCCCTCTCCCTTTGGGCACTGTTGGGGAGTTGGCCCAGCCCAGTCGACAGCCTCTGGCAGCTGTTGCTGTGCAGAAAGTAAGCAGAAAACCCCAGGATTGCCAGCTCCAACCAAATTGAACTGTTGTTACCTTATGACAAAAGGTCCCTAAAAATACACTGCTGGTGCTATTGTAGTTGTTCCCCAGAGTAATATATTGGACAGACCTGATGTCAGAGCAGCGGTTGCCAACTGGCTTGAGAAAATTTTGGTGGGCGGCAGAGAAATCTCACCCACAGAGCACCCCCCCCCAGCAATTAATCCAGGCTGCGCAGAAACAAGGCTGCGCCACCCACATGGCCTGTGGGAACCCTCTCCGCCCACTCACTCCTTACCCAGCAAACTTGCCAGCTAAGTTGCTATTTTTCCTTTTTCCCAACATTTGTTCTGCTGTGCCGGGAGATTTAGATTAGCTAGGAAGCAGGAAATGGTTGGATTTCTTGCTTTCCAGCTAGTCTTTAAACCTTTGGCTCAGCATAGCTTTTAAGCAGAGCCGAACCTCCCTTAAGACTGAAGGTTGTTATTCAGTGCAGACTCACAGCAAGCAAATGGGAGACACTGAGCTAGCCGATGGCAGATAGATAGATAAATGATTCTGTGAGCAACTCAATCTGCCTACCTGCTTTGCTTGATTTTGGGTAAAAGTTGCTTTTTTTAATAAAAAAATTCAATATTTATATACATATTCATATTTACATACAAGCCATGCCCAGCCAGTCACATGATGATCAAGCCACACCCACAAATTAGGTCATGGTCCCTGGGATTTAAAATTATGAGTTCTGAGGTCCCCTGAGCTAGAGTGCTCCGAGGCCAATGTCTTTACAGGTGCTTCGATAAACAAGTTGGTTTGGACTTTATTGCCACCTGGTGCTGAGCCCCTACCGGCCTGTGCCCACCACTCCAGCTGAACTTTCCTGTCTTGAGTTCCCATTGCAAACTAGGCCTGGCTGCTGAGCCAGGTGGGGCTGGTTTCAGGCTGCAAAAAAAAAAGAGCCAAAAACAGCCCTTTAGCTGCTATGGGTCGAAAAGAGGCCCCAGGTAGTATCGGGCTTTGCAGGCTAAATTAAATTCATTTTAAGTGTGTTGAATAGTTCGAGCCTGAGCAACAGGAGATGCAAAATACTGTGAGCACAGCAGTTTCAGGTGGTCTACTTAAGAGACAAAAATGTGTGTTGAGGGTTGGAATAGAAGACCTCCAACTTCTAGCCCTGATCCTACCCTGTTAAATTCAAGAATAGTAGTAGTAAGGAAAAGGGCATGTATGGTGCACCATCCATAACTTACCCAGAGATCCCTTCCAGATTCTGTCAAGGCTGAAAATTGGAATGGCTTAAGTCCTAGGGAATTTTCTAGCCCAGTTCCAGAGTTTTCTTTGCATTTGGCTCAATGAGCCATTAATGAACAAGAAAGAATTCTGCTCTGCTGAAACTCTTTGTCTTTATTTTATACAAAGAACTTTAAGGAATTAATAAGTTCATGTATCTATTCACTTTCCAGCTGAGTTGCCCTTCAGCCTCACCTGCCACAGAACCGCCCCCTGGGGTTGCCCCCTGATTTCCCACCAAAGATGCAGCTCACTTCTGCCTATTAGGCCTTGGCTTCTGCTTGGGCTTTCCTTTCAGCAATCATCCGATGCTTCTGCTTCATTAAACACCTGCGAGCAGATCCAAAAGCACCTAGGTCATCATCTAAGACAATAAAAATAAAAATTAAACAGGTTACACTATAATCTGCCAAAAAGATTAGTGCGCAACAACACTGCCAAGCAAGGACTTTTCTTGAAAGCCAGAGTTCTCCCTGAGTTCTCCTGAATCATTAGGATTGAACACTGATTTTAAGAAGCTGCTTTAATTCTTAAAATGTAAAGCAACTTGAAAAGAAAACAAGTTTATTGCTAAAGAGGATGCTTAGGGACATTTTTTAAAATTATTTTTCTTCATTAAAAACACTTTCATGAAGTACAATTTAACTGAATTTCACAGCAAGTTGAACCCAACTAAAATTTAAAAACATTCATGCATGGGAAAATAAAAGTCAAGTTACTAGTCTTCATAAAGAAGCCAGGAACAGTAACTCTTATTAAGGGTGAAGTTAAACAGCCCACATAAACCAAAGTTCATTAACATTCTCAATCACTTTGACATATGTAAATAGGGTCCTTACACCAAAAGGTTTTGAGAACCACTGGGCCTAGAATATGGGATCCAGTTTTACCTAGGTTTAATGTAAAAATGTCACAGGGGTTGACTTACATCGATCCCTATAAGCTTTGGCCACATCTTTAAATAGCTGTATGTCATTTGCACAATTTTCAGCAGCATTCACGCCTTCCCGGACTTTGCAAGCACCTACCCTCTCCCGTATGATTTTCACAATTTCCTGGTCAACCTGCCTATGAAAGCAGAAAAACAATTTGGAGAATGCTGTAACAGACATATTTGTTCCTCCAATTATCCATGCAAGCTCAGTGCCCTTTACTGCTACTTAAAAGCATCATCTTTTTAGGCTCATGCCCCCATTGAAAAGATGAACAGCACCCAAGTGAACCAGTAATAAATCTTGATCAAAGCAGGCCCAGCTTACTATGATTACACCTTCAAACAAAACGTTTGCAATAGATAAAATATTGAAGATTGGGCCAACTATGTTTTCATCGCTTTTTTTGTTAATCAAAGGAACCACTTCTCACTGTCCTGTACAGACCTTTATGACTGCAGAGATCCCCTTTGGAAGAGAAGCTTTCTGCTCTTCTCCTTATTTGTTCCACCACTGTAATTTATAAGCCTGACCCCAGGCCATTTCAGACCCTTCTCTTGGAGTATCTGTGGTCTCACCTATATTTCCAAGCTTGCCATCTTTTAACTGCTGCCTGTGCTGCTAGTTACCTAACAAAATACTTCAAACAATTTGAGCACATAAGGCTGCAGATAACTGTAGCCTTCCCAACAGATCATTCGGCAAGAGACGGTAACTCGGGAAAGATACAGACATACAAATCTCGTTTCCACTGCATCTCCGCTTCGTAGATGCACAGGTAGTCGTCCTCCATGCATTCTGTAATGTCTGGCACCCGGCGAAACTCCCGGTGATAGTAATAAACCTTATGGTTTGCACGCAGGTGTTCAATCCATTCTGTTGAAAGAAAAGAGGAGGCCCATTCAAGGCAGGAGCCAGGGAGCTCTTTTAATCAGTGAGGTTAAAGAGGCAGTGATCCTCTAGGACAGAGGTCTCCAAACTTGGCAACTTTAAGACTGGTGGACTTCAACTCCCAGAATTCCTCAGCTGAGTTTTGCTGAGCTTTGCTGGCTGAGGAATTCTGGGAGTTGAAGCCCACCAGTCTTAAAGTTGCCAAGTTTGTCTGCTCTAGGACCTTAAGACAGTTTTCCCCTTTTTTGTATACAATTTATATTAAAACTATTAACAAGATAAAAACTGAGAAACTGATGTATAGCACGGAAGGAATAAACAATAAAAAGAAACCAAAAAGCAAAAGGTTGAGGAAAAGGAAGCTAGAGAGGGATAGAAATGAAGCGGCTTCCGCGGTTCTTCTCAGCAGTCCGGTCCAGATGCAAGCAAGCGAGGGAGCAACTCAGGGGGCCGGTCTCTAGGGAGCCCCCCTGGAAAGGCCGCCCTGCTCCCCACCTGAACGGCCAAGGGGACACAAGCGGCCCGCCCGTCGCGCTTCATGCTCTGAGCCCAGCAAGCAGGCCGAGTCAGCCGGCCGCTGCAGAAGACGCGCTACGGGGCCCGCCGGCTCCGAACTGGGCCGCCCTCCCGGTCTCCTCCCCTGCCCAAGGGGCCCAGCGGGGAAGGCTCTGCGGCGTTCCCCTCACCTTGGCAACGGCAGGGTGCGTGGACTTCGGCTCCCAGAATCCTCGCCGTCACGCAGGCTGTGGAATTGTGGGAGCTGAAGTCCACGCGCCTGAAAAAGAAGCCCCGCCTTCCAACCGCTACGGCTTGAGGATGATGAGAGTTGTAACCGCCCACCCTCCCAGGAGCTCCTGCCCCTCCTCCTCACCTCTGTACAGGGTGACCGGTCTGTCTACCGTGTAGTAAAAGAGCTTGTCGAAGAAGAGAGTTGGGCCGGAAGCGGGCACCAGCGGTTCAGGGTCCGGAACGTCGACCGGGGGCAAGTTGTACGCGGCCCGCTCCGAATCCTTCGACATCGCCGCAACCTCTAAATCGCTGGACCGAACAAAATGGCGGCGGGCAACAAGTGCGCATGCGTATACTAGGGAGAATGCTTTCTCTTTCCGCCGCCCAATCGGTGGGGAGGCGTTTAATTTTGAGGCCGACACGACGAGCCCACCAGGGGGCGTGAGAGAGCGGCCTTGGGCCCCCTGCGACGCCTGGCGCGGCTCTTTCGCCGCCGCCCTCCCGTTTGCGTGGAGGCCGCTTACTGCGCGCCGGGGCTGGGCAAGAGGCTTTCCCGGGAGCCTCGTCTTCCCTCTTTAGCCCCCGGGGCGACATTTGCACGGGCGCTTCGCGGAGCCCCGTGGCCAACGGCGCGGAAGGCGGGTTTTCTTCTGGGAGGGGGCCAGAGACCCCTATTCGGCCCCCGCCCTGCGGGTGCAGGAGCCGCCGTCCAAGGCTCCGATGGGGGCTGCCAGCCGGGGTCGCCCTTTGACTGCCGCCCAGCTTGGGGCTGGGCTCTGAAGAAGCAAGGCCCCCTTCCCCGCATTAGGTGCCCCTTTGGAGGCAGAGAAAAAGGAGGCGGGGCAAATGAACCAAAACAAATACTTAAACGAAGGCTTGCAAATCAAAGAAAGCAGACTTTATTCTTTGATCAAACTTCTGGTTAAGAAATTCCTTCCACATCACGAGAGACATGGGAGGAAAATTCTACAAAATACAGAAAGATGTTCTATCCTTCTTACACATGCAAAAGTCTTTGTTCTTAGTTCTCTTGTAAATCTCTAGTCTGTTGGGGGGGGGTTGGACTAGAAGGCCTCCAAGGTCCCTTCCAACTATTCTGATTCTAAATTCTGATTCTAATCATGTAATCTAACTAGCTGTAAAACTCTAGTCATGTAATCTAACTAAGATTTACATCTTCCTGCAACAGACAGATTCTTTTCTGGCAGTGTTACCTTTTCTCCATTGTCTCCCTAATTGATCATTTTGGCCTTTTGTTAACACCATAGGTCAAAGGTATGTGTGAATTGCCTTGACAGTTGGAGATAGTTACATGCCAATTCCTGGAGGAAATAGGGGTGGCATTTATGGAAGGATTCATGAAGGATGTATATAACAGGACCATATACTTGATACAGGAGGACGCAACTGATCGCAGGCATATGTTTTTTTTAAACAATTTTTATTAATTTTCAAAGACAATACACAAAACATAAAACATAAAAACAAAACATCTTTTCTGAAAGCTGCTTATTGAGTTTTAACAAAACAAATAAAACATCTTATTTGAGTACAGCATAGTTCCAGGTTATCACATTTCCATACAGACACAATTTCATATGCACATTCATCTTATATATTCAACTTCATATCTTACTACTCTTTTTCCAACTTCTCACTCTTATTCAATTGTATTTCTTTTACCTAGGTTTCTATATCTTTTTATTCATTGTACTTATACTTTCATCTGTCTTGTTTACAATTTCATATATTCTCTTCCAACATTCTTTCAAAATTTTATTAATTTTCAATAAACAAACAGACAAACAAAACACAAAACACAAAACATGAAAATATAAAACTTCCTTTTGGAAAGCGGCTTAGCCCCGGGTTACATCTTTTTGTACAGACATAAATCAAATTCATGCTCACCTTATATACCATTTCATATCTTATTTAGCATTCTATATTTTCTATATGTCTTCTCCCCTCTTTTCACTCTTAATTCTATTTTATTTCATCTCAATTTAAATCATTATACTTGTATCTTTTGTCCGTTCTTTTTCAATTATCTATCTTTTCTCTTTAATACAAAATTTCTACTGTAATCACTGGTTGAAGTGTGACGCCTTTCTATCTTTCCCCTAAATTTAACACTTAAAATAATATATAATTTCCATTCTGATTCTGCTTAGTACATTCTACGTACTACATTTAAAAATAAAAAAATAATAAGTTTATAATATAGTTAAAACAATGTTCCATAGCAAATTAAACTCTATCATTAAATCTTAGACATTTTACACATTCCCTTTAATATTTTATTAACTCATAGAATATTCCAATTTTCTAATTCTATTTCAAATACAAACATTACAATACAATCTTATGTACTTTTGCAGAATCTTTTTTAATTGTATTTTACCCTTTGTCTCTGAAAAAAACCTGTTTTTTAACATCTTGTTTCAAGCCTTTATAACTTCTCTTCCCTTTTTCCCTTCCTTTCTTATTGAACCTAGGCTTTTTAACCCCCCCCTCTTAATCTCCGCCCTCTTAGTCTCCCCTCTCTGTTGTATTCCTCTTTTCTGTTGCTTTCTGACATTGTATTGATTTTTCACCTTATTTTTCCCTTTCTTGGTTGTTTTTTTAAATCTTGAATTCTCTATTCTCTTCCCCCTCTTCCTTTTCTTCCTCAACTAAAATTGTTTGTTCATTTAAGATGGCTTCTTCTTCATCATCCCAGCCTTCTTGTTCTTGTAATTCCTGGTAGGTAGAAATCGCCATTTCTAAGAAGTGAAAAACAGATCCAGAAGAGCCCTTGCCTACTTGTTCCTCTTCTTTTGAATTCCATTTTCAATTCTTCAACAGATAATGCCATTGTGAGATAGATTTTTTAAACAACCCAAATGTTTTTAGTCTTTCAAAAAATAGTTTCCAAAAGTCCCAAAGTCACCAAGCAATCCAAATAAACACAAACTGTTCCATTTAGCACTTTATTCTTTTTATACTTTCTCTTCCTGGGGTAGAATTCAATTACAAAGTTCCAAAATGTATTTTTTAGAAGTCTTATTGCAGTTCATCTCTAATCTTACAAACTCCAAGTAGTCTCCTCCAGTAAAGTCTTAAGTTCTTTACCTCTCCCTTATAGCAAAAAGATTTTAATTTTTAATTCCAGTGTTCAGAAATCTTTAATGTCCCGTTGGCTTTAATTTTCAAATTTAAGTACCTTCTGTTGCCAAAGCGGGTTTTTCCGATTTCCATCTGCTATCTCCGTAGGGAAGGAGAGTAAGAAAAAACAAACTTTCCCTTTTCACTTTCATCTGCCGCTTTTTACGATCTTCTTAGGGAACAATGTATCTTTAAGAAAATTGAATTTCCAGGGTATTTAGATGTTACTTCTTGTCCCGGTTCAGCCAAAAACTTTCACTTTCTCAGCTTCCTCCTGCACATTCTTGTCCGGCTGAAGGCTTCTTTGTGGCAGACATTGCTGACCGCTGCTCCACCGCCTTTGGAAAAGGGAGTTAAGCTGGCTGAGGAGTGGGGGTTGCGATTCCCCCGGACCCCTGCCCAGATCTCCCCTATCTTCAGTTATCTTTACAGGATAACTATAGCCTCCAAATCCAACTGGATCGGGGGCACTCCAGCAGCGAGCGCAGCAGGAACCACGCATGATCACGGATTCCTGCCGCCGCCGAAGCCTTACCAGGCATATGTTTAACAATGAGTAAATACACAAGGAAATATGTTTACAGCAGGATAAAATATACATTTTTCAAGAGACCAAATGTCCATAGAGTAACTTTCTACTTAATGCTCCTACATTTCTACTACATTTCTTTATTATTACTATTCCCTTCAGTCTGACTTGGCTGCAGGGATTCTACGCCGCAATTGATGAGCCCTGAAGTTCACAGAGGGGAGCAGGAAATGGATCAGGAAGCCGCGAAATGTAGAAGCTCCGTTGCCACACAAAAGACCATTTACCTACTCATTATTGGCACTTGTTTGACTCACTCAGTTGGGTTGACCTGCTAGGTGAACCAGGCACAAAGTCTGATGATGGCTGGTTTCTCGTGTAGCACCAGAAACCAAAGATTTGTGGGTACGGAGTCTGTATCCTGAACATGGTTTTGGATGAAGAACGTTGCATTTGTTGAATGTTTTTATTTATTCCAGAGCTAATAAAACTACAGAAAACCTCTCCCTACAGATTCTTGGCTGCACTGTCTCTTTATGGCAGGGGTTCCCAAACTTGGCAACTTTAAGACTTGTGGACTTCAGCTCCCAGAATTCTCCAGCCAACAGAGCTTCTGGGAGTTGAAGTCCACAAGTCTTAAAGTTGCCAAGTTTGGAGAGCTCTGCTTTGTGGGCTTCTCACCCTATTCCTTGATGCTGAGCTTGACATTTTGAAATTAAAGATTTAAACATTTCCACTTCTAGAAAGAGAGAAAAAACCCTTGTTGATGCTTGCATAGTTTACTACAAATCCTTTTCATCTGAAAGAAATCTGAACGTAGGGAAGGGAACCCCCAGAGCTCTTGTATCTTGACAGCCTGGCAGAACCCCACTTCCTTCTGGCCAGAGGGGGGTGTTTTCTACATTGGAAGGAAGACTTGGCAAAGGGAGAAATGTCCCTATGCTACCCTGGGGGTCTTCCTTCAACAGGGTAAAAGAGAAGCCTTTGTGCGGGACCCTTTTTTAGACAAAGCCATTTGGGGCTGCATGGCTCTCCCAGGGGAGCCGGTTTTGTCTGGACTCAGGGCTGCAAGGGGGCAGAAGAGGCTCCCCTCCCCATGGGCTTCCTGCTTGGCTGTCAGGTGGGCTCCACCAAGAGGTAGAATTGCCTTTGGGAAGGCAGTGGCTGGTGGTGGGTGATAAATTTGTCGAGAGTGACCTTTCGTCTCCCTCCCGAGGGTGAAATGGATAGTGCACCAGAATGAAGCCAGCTGCTAAATTTATGTCTTGGGGAGAGAGAGACATCTCTGGCATTAGGCAAGCCAGGCACTTGCTGGTAGCCTCTTTCTCTCTAGGCAGCCTCGGCTGAAGACGTCGGATCATGGTACTGGCAAGCGAGGGGCCTGGCCTTTATGGGGCTGTGGGGGGCAGGTGGCGTGGGGGGGGGGAGAAGGTGTCTGAAAGCAACGGCTTGCAGGAGGCTTTCAGGGAAAGGCCAGGGGAGGTGGCTTTTTCCTTTATTTTCTCATTTGTTTGTTTACTTACTTACTTATTTAGCATATTGTGTAAACAGGGTGGAGAAATCCCTTTCTTTGTTGTGAGAACTACTAAAGCTAAAAATAGAGGATTTCACACCTGGAGCAGACTTTCCTCAACCTGGAACAGAATAGAA